ATAAGTTGATGTGATCAATTCAATGGCAAAGTATTGGCCACAAACAATTCAAACACACGTGTGTTCGACATTGTTCTAAGATAGGGTGATCAAGATATATATATATACATACATATATCCATGAAAGAAGTCATCAAAACGAATTTAAATATATATAGGCCCCCATCCAAGATTTTGGGAATTATTGATTCATATAAAAATAAAATGAAAAACACTTGAGATTTTAGGATCGAGCACTGGCAGCTGCAGTGTCGGAATTTCAACTTTAATGAGGATTGGTTTCTTGTAGGCATCTGATTCAAGTCCGATACATTAACGAACCATTCAATCACCGTAATTTCCATTCCTCCATCAGTAACATGTCTGGCCGGGAGATGGGGGCAAAGTATAAATAAAAGTATAGTATTAAAGTCTACAACCACTAGTTGTACTAGATTATTTATTATATAAATGATTTTCCAAATTTTATTTTATTTTCTTATTGTGAATTAATGGGGTTTTTAGAATTACACTTTTTAGGGTGGAGAAATGGGCCATTGAAGGCATTCTTAGTGGTAATGAATTCCTAAAGTGGACCTTCACCTAAGATTAAACAAAATAAACTACCCTATAATAACCATCTTCCTATTTAATTAATTAAATAAATATATATATAATTAAGATTTAATTATTGCACCTAGCTTTACTTTTTCTCTAACCAATTTCATCATTATCATTTATCACTATTTAAAAAAAATATCTTTTTTTTTGTTAATGGTATTAGCAATGATGTTTGCTTGGTTGACCCTTGAATTTAACTTCCATTTCAATTTCAATATAATTATTTATTTTTATTCATAATTTAATTTCTTGGGTTATAATTATTGCTTGCACAAATGAGACAATGCCTGCAAATCGTGAAATAAAACAGCTGTGAGAATCAATTGGGCTGGTTTTGAAATGACAATTGCAGAAACAACAAGTACAATTTGGCATTCATTGTTAATTATGCTTTCGTATATATTATTAATTTTTTTTATTTTTTTTTTAATTTTCACATCATATATACAACTTTTTTCAATTTGTTTAAATGATTTTTCGATTTAGGCGTGACGAAATTTAATTAAGATTTGAAATCAATAATAGCATAGAATTATGCCAATCATGCTTTAACAATTTTATGATGATGATTGCCCTTATTTTCTGTTTTTTTGACTAAGTGTTGAAAGATTACTTAAAAGGGGCTAAACTAGAGATGATTTACATTTTGATAAGGTTGGCTATTTTCTTGAAAAACACTTGCACTTATGTAGTTGGCATCCAACCATGGTTAGTTATGAATACGTATATGTCGTAATTATGGGTGGAAATTGAACGATATGAATCACGGATCGAAAAAAAATCGGGAAATAAACAGTACAATTTCAAAAAAAAAAATCCATTTTTTCAGGATCGGAACCTGCGAAAATCGACAATTTAATTTGTTTTATTCACTTATAATACAAAATACATAATAATATCTATAATATGAGTGAAATTTACAAAAAAGAAAATAAAAAAATCATAACTGTTCTCGGTTAAATTCGTGAAATTGGAATCTAGTACATATACTCCAATTCCAATTCAAAAGAATACGAAAAAAAATCATAAATTAGAATTTTAGAAATTTGTAAGAACAAATTGTTCCAAAGTCGGAGATTTTCAGGCTGAAATTGTCATAATTAGAAAAATGCATTGCGGAAACTAGAAAAATGAAAAAGTTAAGGGGCCAAAGTAGAAATAGTGATTTAACAAAATGTGCATGCATGACCCATTAATCCACGCGTAAGAGATATCATCTTAGAACAAAGTAGCCTTTAATCGATTCCTTTATCCCCTTATTATGTTCAACAATTTAATTTGTGGTCCCTATAAACAACTCAATTGACAACCAATAACCAAGTGTATATAATAATAAAACATTAAATATAATCACATCTGAATATAAATATATATGTTACATTCAAAATAAAAAATAAGTTGAACTTTTTTTAATAAAAAAAGAAATAGATACAAATTCTCATAATTAAAAAGAAAAAAAAGTATTTTTTTATATTTTAATAATAAATATTTATTTATTTTTATTTACCTCAAATGAATGTTGAAATTTGGAAATATTGAATCGAGATGAAGATATATAAAATCATTTTCAAAGGTGATGGTGGGAATAAGGACCATACAGTTGGATCCATCTAGGGTTCATTAAGAAGAAAATGAAATATTTTTTTTAGGGCATGGTATCCTTATAGGATGGATAATGATGGTGGCCAAATTTGTCAATTTAATTATCAATGATATTAATTAGCTTTTTTTAATAAGTTAAATTAAATGTTTAATTAGTTAGATATAACTACTATTATTCTCAAATTTATAATTATCGTTCAGGTTTCGATACATGTATTAGGAAAACTAGTACGTGTTGAAAACATTACATTATATTGAGAAAAAAATTCGTAAATTACTGCAAAGAGTTTAAGTAACATGGAGTGGGGAGTATAGTGTTATATTAATGCTTCAATACAGTTCGAAACGACTATTTTTTGTGTTTGATTCAATTTTTCGAGTGTTCGACGTTTCGTCACCATACTAAAAAATCGAAATATCTAAATCACCAAGAACTCGATTTATAATCTAAACATAAAAATAAATTAATTAAAAAAGGAGTCGAAGAAGATCTCATCCTATAATTAGATGCAGGTGTTGTGGGCCCAGCAAATAAAACTAAAAATAAAAATAAAAGGAATTAAATATTGGACAAATTGTTCCTAATTAATTAAGTTTTCCCATGAGATCTCAAAGGACCAACATCCTCCCAAGTGTCACATTCTCCAAAAACCCACGACCACTCTCTTTTATTAAAAGTATCATTTATTTAATATACTAATTAATTAAAATTGCATCCCACCCAATATAATTAATTTAATTCAATATATTATTTATTGGTTTCCTCATCTTCTTCACCTAGAAATTATAACTAAATACTCCTAGTAATTTTCATGAGATAATTCTTGATAATACCATGTTGAACACTTTGACTATGGTAAAATTGTTCATATACATGAAGTGAATTTAATATTTTATTATTTATTATTTTGAATTAAAATATAGCAATGAGAGGATATAGGACCCAATAAATGATGGGTCGGGTCAAAAAGGTCCACTAAACAAATGGTGTGCTTCGAATGTCATGTGGGTTTGTTCATTGTAAGGTGTAGGGTAGACCTGACCACCGGTTCGGTTAGAACCGGAACCGGAACCGGAACCGAACCGGGGTCAACGGTTTTAGAACCGAACCGGAACCGGTTTGACCAGAACCGGAACCGGAACCGAAAAAACCGGTTCGGTTCCGGTTCCTCATTTTTGGAACCGGGAACCGACGGTTAGAACCGCGGTTCTAACCGTTTGAACCGGTTTTTTATAAAAAAAAAAAAAAAAAAAAAAAAAAATTAATTTCCTAGCTCTCTCTCTCTCCTCTCTGTCTCTCTCTCTCTCTCTCTCTCTCTCTCTCTCTCTATATATATATATATATATATATATATATATATCTGTATATATATTTATATATATATATCTGTATGTATATTTTATATATCTATATATATATATATCTGTATGTATATATATATATCTATATATCTGTATCACTGTATGTATATAATATATACATATTTATTTAAAAAAAATTACGTATTTAAAAAAAAAATTAAGTTTTTTAAATATACTTTCCACTTAAAAAAAAACTATTTTTAAAAGTGTTTTTTTTTTTTTTAAGTTTTTTAAAGTATTTATATATATATATAAAATAATAAAAAAAAATTTATTAAGAACCGGCGGTTCTACCGGTTCTAACCGGGAACCGAACCGGAACCGAACCGGAACCGGTTAGGAACCGAACCGCAAGGAACCGGATTTTTTCGGTTCGGTTCCGGTTCCTCCAAAATCGGAACCGGAACCGGCGGTTTGGAACCGGAACCGGAACCGAACCGAACCGTGGCCAGGTCTAGTGTAGGGGGAGCATCATACAATGTACCATAAAAAATTTGTTTGGATAATTACAGCTGCCCCTCAACTATGTATTATTTTACATGTTCACCCTTATATTGTCAAATATTTACCTATTGAAATAGGGGTTTTTTCATAAATATCCAAATAAAAGTGGGTTTTTTCGTAATTCGATCTTACATCAGAGAGGTAGCGAGGTGGCGGTTTTGCCAAACAATAAGTGAATAAAAACAATAAAAGGGTTTTTTTGGGTGGCCTAAAAAGACTGAATTTTTTTAATTTTTTAAAATTTAATTTTTGGCCCCCATGGGAAGAGAATGCAAATACAAAGAATCCCATCATTCCAAAATCCCCCTTTAAAGAACACAAAGGAAACAAGAAGAGAGTGTGTACCTAGGAGAAAACAAAATCCCACAAATTTCAATAAGAATAGATGGGGTTTTAAGGAACAAATTCAGTTGCTCGAGGAACAAAAAGAGGAAACAATAATCCAAAATATTGCACTTAAACCCAAGTCTCATAAATCAAAATTAGTGACCAATAATCCAAATTCAAGAAGTAGAAGAAGTAATCCAAATTCAAGAAATAGACAAAGGAGTTTTTATTTTAAGGAGAGAAGTATACTTAGTCCCAATCAATATGGTTCGAATGTTGCCCAAACTATGACCTCAATCTAACATCATCCGAAAATAAAAAAATAAAAAAATAAAAAATAAATTTGAAGCACAACTTGTTCATAATTTTTTCCCTTTCCTTTTTCCCCTTTTTGTTTCCTCTTATCTACACATAATGATAGTCCACTATTCAATAAAATACAAGTGGTTTTCCGGTTCGGTTCGTTCTATGTTACACTCGATAAAACCTCACCAAGTTACACTCTAACATACCGCGTATTTCACACATTCCCACGTGTATTTCACCAGGTGCAGCATCCGCGAGACGAGAGAAAGAAAATGAAAGTGAGCGAACTCGATAAGGATTTCATGTCCCCCCTCCAAACTATTTTTGCCTCTTTTTTTCACCATCTCCTTTTTTAATGAGCAAAAAAGAAAGAAAAAAAAAAGAGATTTTGTTTTTCCCACTTTTTTACCTTCTTCCTCAATCATCCATTCCCCTGTACAGGAAACACTCATCATTGCTCCCAACAATCTTTTTCAAACCTGAGCTTCCAAGATTTTCGATATTTTCTCTCTCACTTCTTTCCAATTTTTTCCCATACTATAAATACCACACTCTTCCACTACTTCTTTCTCCTCCTCACTCTTTCATCCCCTGTTTTTTTCTTTTTTCTTCTTCCTATGATGGATCCTTCTTCGGCGAACTCGGTCAATGGCTTCTACAACTTCCTCACACGAGGAATCGAGGATCTCGAACGCGTGTTTTCGTCTAGCAACTTCATGTCGATTCACTTCCTGCAAAGAGTTTTGTCCCTCTTGAGATCTTCCCATAATCAGCTCACACTTTTGGTTCAGAAACTCCATTTGCCAGTTGGAGAAAAATGGCTCGACGAGTACATGGACGAAAGCTCCAAGCTTTGGGAAGTTTGCCAAATTCTCAAAACCGGGATCTCGGGCTTGGAGAATTACTACTCGTCCGGCCTCAATATTATCTCCTCTTTCGATAGCCATCGCCATTTAAGCCCGCAGCTCTCTCGTCAGGTAATAAATAAAAACACAGTCTTGATTCATATGAATTCATTTTCTTGATTAAAGTAATGATTTAATGAATGAAAAAACAGGTAATTCGGGCTATATCGGTGTGCAGAAGAGAGGCGGTGGGATTGGAGGAGGAAAACAGGTCGTTAATGGAGACAAGAACAGAGCCACTATCTTTGAAATTGGACGAAAAAATCTGCGCAGAATCGAAGCTGAATGGATTCAATGGTTTTAGAGGAGTTCTTTATGCAATGAGAAATGTGAGTTCACTTCTGCTGACGATTCTGCTATACGGGTCGGTTTACTATTGGCCCGAATCGAATACGGGTCGGAGAAACGGGTACGAGGGTTCTCTGTTATTCGGATCATCGTTCATGATCTCGACAATGAGGCTGCAGCAGAGGGTGGATTCCGAGATAAACGAGACGAGGGGTGGGCCCGGCGTACTTTTGTACGAGTTTAAGAGGTCGAAGGATTTGCTTGATGAACTGAGGGGTGAGATTGAAAGAAAGTGTGTAAAGGGGAGTGTGGAGTGGGAATTAGAAGATGGGATTAGAGAGAGAGTGGAGATTCTGAGGGGCTGTTTCGGAATTTTGAGAAGTGGGATCGAGAATATTGTTATGCAGCTTGACGATGTTTTCGACGAGATCGTTGATGGGAGGAAGATGCTCTTGAATTTCTGCAGCCATAGGTAGATCAAAGTCAGCTTTCAACTCAAAAAAAAAACAAAAAAAGAAAAAAAAAAAAAGGAAAAATGTAAGTGTAGGGTAAGTAAGTTAGTAGGTGGTTTATTGTAACTTTTGTATTTTCTTTTACATCTATTTCTCTTTGTGTATTTCAAGAATGCAAGAGGAAAATTTTCTTGAAAAAAAATGCAGTAAAAAAAAAAGAGAAAAAAGAAACCAAACATAAAAGTAGAATTTGCTCTGTTTATGTTTCTGTTTACCATGAAAAGGAAGAAGTGAAAAAACAGAATGGAAGCTTCTTTCCTGAAACAGGGGGGACAAAAAGGTCAAATCTTGACAATTCATATTTAACTTTCCTATGTTTTATTTATTTATTTATTGCATTGTTTTACTACAAAGTATCTGTTGTCTGTTACTGCTTACTGCTACTTGATTATTTTACTAGTAACTGTTTTTGGTCATGTAATATGAATTATTTTTGCACTCTGGGAAGCTTTTTTGTCTGAGTCAGTTTCATTTTGACAGCAATTGCATTTGATGATGAAAGTCTCTCTCTCTCTCTCTCTCTCTCTCTCTCTCTCTCTCTCTCTCTCTCTCTCTCTAACACACAGAGAGTGCACACTGCACACAAAGAAGAGACACAAATCAATTCCGACATGACTTTATTCTGTTAGTGCCCATCTTATTCCTACAAACTATGGTGGGCAACATAACATAGTTTCACAGTAATATGATTAAAAAAAAGAAAAAAAAAATCATGAGCTGGGATATTTTTGAGTAAGATTTTCTGGCAAAATATTGCTGGAAAAAAAAAACCAATTAGAAGCATAAACAAAATTCTTCTTATGCCCGAAAACCAAATTCGAAGACAAGAAACTCAAGTTCCATAAGGAAGATAGGATACTAGAATTAGAGTTTGTTGGATTTTGGGATCAAACTGAATTAATCAAGAACTCAGCACATTAACGCGATCGATCTCCACTTAAGACGCCCAACACGTTGGGTCCAAACAACACAAATCCCACTCGGTGACTTGAGAACCTTTTATGATCATTTGATCTTGACCGTTAACACTCACCTCTTTCATTTGGACCACTCGTTCGAGGTATTTCAACTCCGCCTCCTTCCCAACCCTAAAACTTTGATCTTCTCTTTTCCGTACCACCGCACCGAACATTTTCCGCGCCGACACATCTGTTTGACTATGACGATGGTTGGTACAACTTATACTCTCTACTTTGAACACAATCTTACTTTTCCATCTATATAGTAAACCATTCGGGGAAAACATACATACGAATTTGAATCTCCTTCAAGTTTGCTTCAGCTTTTTACCACCAAAAATAATACATCAAACACCTTCATAAAATCTGGACCCCTTCTTTTTTATTTCCTTCCATTTTTCCACCCTCTCAATTAAAGTACATGATATCACAACATATCATTTTTTTTTAAAGGGATTTGGTAAAATATATCTAATATTTCTAAGCTACACATAAACACAAACACATAGAGTGCACTGGAAAACAATTCTGGTAAAAGAAAAAGTTCTCAATTAAGCATAGAAATCAAAACCAATATATTAATTGAAATCAAGCATACATACAAATTGCCTTAAAAAAAAAAGTTGGTTTACATTTACAAATAGATATATACTAAGGGGAGGAATAAAAGCAACAGAAGCATCGACAGCAGCGCCTGAAGCAGGTACAGTAAAGGTACCGTAATGGGCCTCGACGATTCGAGGAAGCCGATGATGAATTCTGGTCAGCCGGTCGATTTTCCATCGGAGCACACCTAGTCCGTGTGTTTCTGCGTGAGAGAGTGGTGTGTTTTTTACACTCAGCTAAAAGTCGTTGAAACCAAGAAAACGCTTTTTAGTTTTTTCTTTTGTTAATGCGTTTTTCAACTCATCTGCATGCGGCTCATGCTACTAACATTTATACAACTTAATTTATATATATGTAGTCAATATATATTATTGATGATGCTAAAATATAGCTCACCTAGGGTGGTATAGAAAACGAGCTGGGAGAGCAAAGCTGATCAGTAGCTAGTCAATTCGATGTTCCTGAGGTCCCTACAAAATGAGCACACGTGAACTAAGCCGGGGGTTGATCCGGCGGAAACCCCTCCGACGCTCAAGTCAGATGTGCGGATCGTAGAGAGAGTAGAGAGAATAAAACTCGAGGTGAATTGTCCATAAAAATGAGAACGTACCTTTACAAATGAATAATACTTCTATTTATATGTCGTTGATTGAGTTGGGCTTATTTTGTTGGGCCCAAGCCTTATTTTGAAGGTGCTTGGGCTTTCGTGTAATGGGCCCGAATACTTTCGTGTATTGGACATAATTGTTAAATGAATTGGGGCCCATTGGGTCGGCCCAATTAGGTATATCATTAAGCCCCCCAACTCTCGATTCGAGATGGGGACTTGTCTAGAGATATCCGGGTCGTGTCGAGAGTTAATTGCGTCGTCTATTGAATTGTTTCCGTTGGTGGTGAAATAATTCCTTAATTTAAATAAGGGATTATTGTATTTATTTGGCAGCCAGGTATATATTTAAGGGTTTTAAATAATATACTAGGGCCAGATAAATAGACTTCTTTTGCGGTGCGAAGCGTTAAACTTCAACTCCTACGAAATATCTATGGGTATGTATTTTTAACTCGAGGTCTTTTCCTGTGCTATTTTTCTCTTGAAATTTTTTTTTTTTTTTTTTTAATTGCGGTAGGGTAGAAAATTTTTTGTGTCTTGATTATTTCTTCGGGGAGAAAATCTTCACATGTCGAACTCGGGTAATTCGAAATCTTTGAGAATTAAACTTCGAGATCCGGTTGAAGGGGGCAAGAAAACTTTTGGTTCCGTGGGCATGGAACGCGAGAAGCTTGTAGTATCGGGTGTGAAAATCGGATCTACATCTGGAGGTGCACGAATTAATGGAGAGGTAGGTATAGGAGGTGGCTTGGACGCAGTTGTCGACTCAAGCCGTGTCACGAGCCGCTCCAAGACCTGTGAAAAGAGTTCTATTGTGGAGCGTGGGGAGCCGAGCCGGAGGCGTGAGCCGTCGGCTTGCCTTGGGAAGGAGAAGAGGAGGGGAGATGCAGCTTCTCCACGTGGGCCAATGGCGTATAGGACGCGCGCGCGCGTCTGGTACGGTGGCCGAGGCACGCGCGCGCGCGTCGGAGTTGGGGGCAGAAGAAGGCACGCGCGCGTCGGGCGCCGTGACCGAGGGACGCGCGCGCGTGCGTATTAATGAACAGCAGCCTGGCGCGCTTCCCGAGCGACGCGCGCGCGCGTCGGATGGGCTTGCCGTGGCTGACGCGCGGACTTCAGCGAATGGGGAGGCGACACGTGGGCGGCGAATGGGTGATGACGCGCGCGCTTCAGCAAGTGGGCAGGCGACACGTGGGCGGCAGCTGTTTGATGACGTGCGCGCGCGTGAATCAGCCCTTTTTGGGGCCACGCGCGCGCGTGAGAGCGCGTTACTGCCCGGTTTTGAGGCCGGTTCGGGCGAAATCGATGGGCAAATTTCCGAGGGTGTTGATGCGCGTGGTGTTTTAAATGGGGGGAGTTTCGGACGACGAGAAATTATTGTATCTTGGAGTGACGATGTAGAAACGAGTGGTAATGTTAATATTCGCTCTAACGTTGTTGAAGATGGTTCTAGTAGACGTCGCCGTGTCGTGGATTTTGGGAGCGATAGTGATGATTCGCATCAAGTTCCTTTGGCGAGTGATCCGGCGATGTCAAATAGTGAAGTTGAGCTGACAGATGAAGAGGAGGAGGAAGATGATATTCCGCCAGGTGATATTGAGATTGATAAGAGGAAGCAAAAGAAAATTAAGCCAATTAATTTGGACTTAGTTGATTTTGATAGTGTGTTGACGGAAGAGCATCTGCACTCTATTCGTCGTTTATCTGGAGCGCCAAGTAACGTTGAGTTGTTGTTGCCTCAGAAGGGTGACCGTTTGTATTCGCCACCCGATGGATTTCATACGGTGTTTTTAGGTTACTTGACGTGTACATCTCAGATTACACCGCATCCGACCCTTGTGAAGGTCTGTGAGGGATTCAAGATTGGGTATAGTCAGCTAACGCCCAGTGCT